TTTTTTTTTTTTTTTTTTTTAATGAAATCGTGCGCCATATAAATCTTACGCGTCGCCACATAATAATTTGAAAATAATGCGAAAGTGTAAAGTAAGATTGACGCGCGACGAGTCCATCCCGCCCTCGTTCCACACTTTTTGATCCCGTTGATTGCGTTTTCCAATTGGAACCGTACAATTTATCGATCGTTCATGTTCAGACACGCGTACACCGTGTGTAAACGTAATAACGTTGACGAACGACCAGGGCGTCCATCAATCACCGTCAAATCGATGCCGGCAGTTTGTCGCCGCGCCGACTTTCCATTCGTGTCATTTGCCCGTTATTAACGCGCGCCAATTTTTTCCCTCCCCTGCCTCCGATCATCATTGCGATCCCGATGACTTTGCGTTACGGAATCGCCATTGTAAAGTGGCACGAGCGTAAACCGTCATTGTCTCTTGGTGGATAAATAGCAATGTTGATCGATCGATCGATCGAACTTTTTTTGTGTAAGAAATTATCGTTAAAAAACTTTGTTTTAAAAACTTGTGTTAAAAAAAATAATAACGGGATTAAATTCTAAAAAATATAAAAAAATATCTCGAGAAAAAGAGTCGTAAATTTAATTTTCTGATTTTTTTTCCTTTTTTTTTTTAATTTTCGAATTTCTTTCTGTTTTCAGGAAATGATATATCGTAAACGTATTTGATTAAATGAAATAATTATAGTTTACGAGTCTCAAAATTTTCTCAAATTCTTCTCTTCTTTTTCTTAATCTACTTGAAGGTGTATACTCGATATATTAAAAGGCAGCAGGTTTTCAAGGATATTGTTTAAACACGGCAAAGATTTAATCTCCTCTCGAAATCTCGGAACGGTAATAAGAACACGTCAGATTGATCGACGAACCACGAACACGGTCATGCATTTATGCATTCGGCCGACGTATATTATACGAACATCGACTCGACTCTTCGATTAATTGAATATTCCTTTGAAGGGGCACATTGAATGTACACGGTCTCGAATACACGGTCCGTACAATTTCTGGTGAAATAGCGCAGGCCCTCCCTTTTAGGGCCGTAATACCGGAGAGCAATCTATCGGTGCGTAAAATTTTATGTTACCTAGAGGAGACCGATTTCCTTATATAGGAAAATATATAGCTCGATCGTCGACCTTCGCGTCGCAAAATTCTCGCATACGAAACGAAACGTGAAAATTTCGCTTTAGCTCCACCCATGGGAGAAATAAATTCGATGCTAAAAAAAAAAAAAATATTGAAACCGAATTATATTTTCTTTCTTCTTTTTAAGAAACGATATTGCATGAAACGTTTATTATTTGTCGTTGCTTTTCATTCCTTCAATTTTTCGTACGTAAAATTCGCGCGCTACTTACTTATGGAAAATACGTAATTAATTATTAATTATGATATCTTTTGATGTAAAATTTATATACGTTAGTTACCTGTTTCGATCGGATAAAAATGTAAAATGTTATTTCAAGAGCACTCGTCGTGTTATTAAAATTGAAACGAGCAATTTGTTAAAATACATTTAAAAAGTGTATATAATGTTAAAAAACAACGTCTTTGCGTTACGCTCTAATTACGATTATGATGCTGGTTTTAATACAATATAAATACGATCGTAAAAGGTGCACTTGGAAACGTTTCATGAAAGTGCACTTTAAACACGGATTACATATATAGGTATAAGCTGCAAAACGGAAGTATCCTCCAAAACGAGGAATTTAAAAGGGGAAAAAAAGTTCGAGAACAGAGGAAAGTTAGCAGAAATAGGTAGGTGATATCGGAGTGTGCCCGCGGCGAAAGTTTCCTTGTTTCTTTGCATATACCCGATCTGTGTTTTCCACGTCCCTTGGAAGAGAATTCGCTCAAAAGAAACGAGATACGAGAAAATGTTTTCCCCTATGGAAATAAAATCCACATTGCATTGCGTATGTAATACGATAATTAAGAATTTCAACTTACCAATCGAAAACAAAACATTCGCTACTTGCGAATTAAAGGAAATTTAAAAAAAGAAAAAAATATTAACGTTATGAAAATTACCGCGTGAAAAATAAATGGAAAAAGGAAATATTATCTTACGAATTTAATCAAAGCTGCTATTAACCCAAATATTTCTCCATTTCTCTTTAATTTAATACGAAGCTTAAACTAATTAAACGAACAACCACTATACAGCAGACGCCCTTTTAACAAGTTTGCGTATAAAAGGAGCTAATTACTAGAATCTATCGCGAAACAGTTGTTCTGTAACAGGGACAAACAAAAAAAAAAAAAAAAAAGAAGACTCGTTTATGGGAAATCTCATTTGATCGCGAACTTGTTTCCCCCGTTTTACTTTATTAAACACGTTTCCGGGAAAACAGTCTCGCAATTGACGCTCCCGTTTATTTGCCGAGGTCGCGTTGCGCGCGGAATTTCGGTTAACCGGCGCAACAACACGAGGCAAGCTTTTACAACGTGACGAGCCCGCGTTTGACGTATCGTTCGTTCGCCTCTAAAATTGCCACCGCTAATTTAACCGACGTCTCGCCGCGTTTGAATGACGAAATCGTCGCTCTACGAGCCGCCATGCGCCTCAATCACCCGAAAATCGTTCGAAACCGGTTTGACGACGCAATTCGATGTGCGCGTTTGACTTTAATATGATTCGCTTGAACTTAACGTTATAATTATATCTTTTGAGTCGTCTGTTATTTACGATATGATTTATAAACGAATTTTTGCTCTTATAGATATTTTTAATTCTTGTTTTTCACTTATCGTGATAAAGATAGTAAAAATAAAGAATTTTCTTTCGAGAGAGGTGCGAAATAATTAAAATTTTTCAATGTTTTCAAATAGAATAAGTGAATTATTGATCAGACAGATGGAAACAAATTGAAAACAATTTTTATAGAAAGGAATCGAATGTCTTTCCAGAATCGCGAAAATGATCTACGCTCTTTAAGTGGAACAGGCAAATTATTTGTCAGGCATGCCAATAAAATCGTGTCTCTTCGTCGTTCAATTTTCTCTCCCCGGAACGAAAACAACTTTACAACGGAGATGGCAAAGAAATTAAACGGGCAAAAGATTAAATATAATCGATGAGACGTAAAAATATCCACGTTAGCCCGGGGCGAAACGATTTATCCTGCAATTCGGTTGGACGTCGATGAATCGAAAATATTTTTAATCCTGCCTCACTCCGGATACGATTGAATTCGTACCGTTCGACAACCTTCGACTTGTCGATATTTCAGAACGCGAGGGTGGCACTCAACAGCCGGCCAGCGTGTGCGACGTCGAATATTACGGACTCACGTCACCGGTGAAAGGTTCCGTGGTTCATCCGGATCCTTACCGATTATTCTCCATGGAGAGGCCAATAAAATGCAGGCAGCACTTTATCCCAGCGGCTAATCAGTCGGTCATCATACGCGTAAGTTCCATCATTTCATATATCCGGATAGAAATTATATTCTTTGCGCGAAGCAAAGTGTTTTCTAAGATGACGCAGGATATTATTTCTGCACTGAAATTAATATCAAATATTTAACTCGTTATGAGATACGCTTGAAAAATGAATTATTATAAGTGAAAGTTACATCGTGATTTTTACAAAAAAAGAATGAATTTTTCTAGAGATATTGATATTATTATATCGATTAAATTTTATAATTGATATCGAGGTTGTTCCAAAATATGATATCGAAATATTATTGAGAATCCTGGAAGAACTATCAAGAATATCTTATGTAATGCCTTGGTTGCACAATGTTAGATTCAAAGTCGTTGTTATTGTTTTACTCAAAGGTGGAGAGCAGCTTGAAGCAGAGTCCAGATAGCCCTTGCAAAACCAAATGCGGAGATAGCGGCTGTCAGTGCGTGAGCAACAAGACCCTAGAGAGCATGGACCACCTTCTGCTCGTCTCTGAAACCGGTCACATCGTCACCTGTCTCTGTGGAAATTATCAGGTGAATAAACTCTGTGAAATTTATCTGTTTTGATCCGCAACAATTTTATCTTTCTGTAAATATTTTTATATTTTCAATCTTCTGATGCAATCTTCTTTTAAAGGATCGAAATAATTAGCAACAGCGACAAACTTGAAAATATGAAAATATGAAATATATATATATATTTTCATAGGAAAAATTTATAAAATTTCAAAAATACTTTATTTTAAAAAATTCTTCGCACAATTACTTTTATCTGATTTTAAAATTTTCATTTTTTCATAATTTTTTTTCTAAAACGAATGCATAAAAGAAAGGGGGAAAAAGGAGAAAATAACGAGATGACCTTGAAACATCGAAAAGATTCTCGAAAGATTGATGAAAAACACGTCCATAATACGCTTGCACGTTTCACACCGAGAACACGAATGGCGCTTCGCAAATCGTTGCTCTCTCTCTCTCTCTCTCCTTCCCTTTCTTCCCTTCTTTCCTTTTTTCCATCCATACTCGATTCTTCGAAAAACAATTTCTCCCCTTTTGTCTACGTTGTCTACTTTTCGCACGGTACGCGCGGGCATTATTTGTTTTATTCAACGGCCGATGAAATCGTTCGAAGTAATTCCACGCCAGTTGATGGAATAGGCGTTGAATAGGAACGGCAGAGAGCATTCAATGTCCCGCCGGTACAATCGGTGTGAACGGGCCCGTTTGTCCGTGAATGAAAGTTGAATGAAATGGTGACAGTCGAACGTGAGCGGTGAGAAATAAAATGCGGTGAGAAAATAAAAGGAACGAGAGAGGGATGGAAAAAGGAGAACGGCGTAGGAATGCTTGGCGAGCAGTTCTTTTTCGAATCGATTCGTGGTCATCGAGGAGCCACCACCGGGTTATGATTTTCGATCGAGATGATTTCGAGTGTACACTCGAAACGAGAAACTCATTCCGAGAAATTTGTGCCTCTTGACTTTCGATTATCTGGAAGAGAAGAAATTATGAAAGTGTTTGTGAAGTAATTGGATATTATTTTATCTATGAATTATTTTAATCTATGAATTTGAGAACATCTATTCATTCATCTAAAATTTATAATGTCTATAGTACACAGAGTTTATTTATTTAGTAATTGTAATTTTTCGCAGAATATAAAAATCTTCAATTAATAAAACAAAATAAGATAACTCTTATGAAAGAAGCAATCAACTGATTACTACACAATCTGTATAATTATATACATAATGAAAATCTTGATTAATCAATACATCCAATCAACATGGTCTAACAATTAGTTTTTCCTTTCAATGGTAACCAATTTCTATACGCGCAAAACTCCATTCTACGTTGATAATACATTCTAATGATGCAAACACATTTTCATAAATACTTCAAAACAATCGTTAATAATATTAATTTCTTATATTACCAACATTTATAAATTAAAATTAATTCCCCTTATGAATATAGTAATTAGATGTTAAGCGTTACACAATTCCTGTGATGAATATTCACGTTCAATTTACAACGTTAATATTGTTCGTTAACGAGAAGTTAAATAAACTTTATATAACCGTTTCCACGGATACAAGTCACTCGGTATATCCCACAGGACTGGCTCCCGGTTGGTATCCGTAGCTGGATGCCAGTGTACATCGAATGGTCGAGATCCTCGAAGGCAGGCCTCAATTTCCGTGCAGCTTACGAGTTTATCAAGGACACTTACTGCGGTTATCACACAACGACAAAGCCGGAAGGCGAGGTGAATGGCGGTGACTTGGCCAGCAGCGGCTTAAAGCTCAATCAGTATTATCAACAGAAATGCACGTGGATCCTGAACTCCATGACGGATCGACAGCTCACCATCGAAGTTAAATCAACTCAGAACCGTAAGAATAATTATTTTTCTCTCTATATTTTTTTTTTTTTCTTTACTCACTTTAGATACTTTAAATTTTTAGATTATAAAGCGAATTTTCATTCGATACTCAAGAGAGAGAGAGATATATACCTATTTTTAGGTTATAGCTGCATCCTTGTATTACATACAATCCAAACGTCTCATCCTCAAATTTCTCAATCCTCGCACATCTGAACAGAGATCCTCCTCCGATCCATCGTCAGGCGATTCAGCAGCAGATCAAAGGAGGCTACTTATCGACGCCACGCTTTGTCCCTTTCCCAGCGGCGAATTTCGTTCAATTCCAGCCTCGGCTACTCCGCCGGAATTTCGATCCGCGCCATTGAGCCAGGCCATGGGCGCGAACCGAATCGAAAGGCCACCGTGGAAGGCTAAACAGAAAGGAAAAAGGAAGAGGAAAAAGGGAACCGGTTCGTCTCCGCAAAAGGGGATGAACTTCGAGAACGAATGGCAGACAGGACTGGAGATTAAAGAGACTATTGGACGATGCAGGACAACGATGGACAGAGAGGGAACTGGTCTTTAAAGGCGCCCTGGCTTCCCTTTCTCCCTCGATTTCCTTTTTCTGCCCGTGCTCCTTGGTCTTTTCTGGCTTTCCCTCTACCAGCTTTCACGCCGTGAAACAAACGCGAGAACGTGGCAAAGAGACGAAACTGTTGCAACGAAGCCAGAAATGGCTCTCGTACATTGGTCTCTTTTTATCCAGACCAGAATTTTCTTCTATTCCCTCAGCTTTTCCTCGAAATCATCAGTGTGTTTCGCTTACAACTCTCGATCTGTAATAGAAGTAATTTGATAAATTATGGAAGTAGATAATTTTTTCAACAATTCAATTTCATTTTATTGATAAGAATATAAACAATGGTTCTTATTCTATATCTTTTATGACATAATGATCTATCGTAGATAAATGATTATATATAATGAAGATGAACTGCGTACAAATAATTATTTAATATATCTGTAACAACTGCAAAAATAGAAATAATTCTCTTAAAAATTTTTGATTTGAAACCGTGATGGAAAATGTGTTAGAGAACAAAATGGAAAAGTTGAGAGAATATAAATTAAATTTTGATTCGAGTGTGGAAGATATATGCCGTTTAAAGGTAATATAAAATCGATATCACTCCTGTCTTGGATGTTTCATCAAAATATCGATCGATCAAATTCGACGTGATACGTGCACCGGCAAAATATAACAGCATCGAGAACCTCCGTGTATTAGATTCCTAGTAACTCGATATCCCTGAAAAATTCTGAACGTGTTGATCCATTGAATGAAAAAGGGAAAAAAGGAAATAAAAAAAAAAACTACAAATCCCTTTTATAAACTGTAAAACGAGAAAAAAAAGAATACGATTTGCATGCGTCAAGAGTGGGAATTTTTTCGAGCCATTGATATTCATGCATTTCCAGTGGAAATCATTGAAAAAAAGCGTCATGAACTGTGAGTTCAGGAAAAAAAAAATCGTTTTCCAGTTCCTCTCCCCGGATAGATTTATCATTCGTGAAAAAAAAAAAAATAAAAAAAAAATAAACAAATAAACAAAAAATAAAATAAAACAAAAAGCGCGAAGGTCGTCTAGGTATTTTCATGTGTGCATTATTTTTTATGCTTCCATGATACTACGCTCGTTTTTTGTTTACATCAACGTTGCAAAAACAATTTTACCATGGAAAAAAATCGTCGGACAGTGGACAACAATAAAAAAGAGAGAGGGAGAGAGGAGGGAAAATATATAAAAATAAATAATACGAAAAATTATTACAGTCTCGACTATGTTAGCCAATCGCCTCCAATTATACACGATAGCCTTCAATGATTGCTGGAACATCAATAGTCAGTCCGATCTTTTCCATCGACGCGTCAAATGTTGTATTCGCGACAATTAATTGTGAAACGACCTCCCTTAATTGATTGTTTGGAGACACGGATACGTTTTATCCATCTCTCGTGACATGATCGCATGAAAAACGAATATTCTCGATCATGATTTATCCATTGTCATCACCTCGTACATCTCGTCGTTCCATTTTAACGCGATTAACGCTTAATGGGCAATTTTAAACTAAATAACTCGATACGAAACTGCTAACAAATATGCACATAATAATAATTGTATCATTAAATTTTGAAAAAGATTATAAATCTCGAAATAATAAACGCAAGAATTACGTAAACGAATAATTTTAATCTTGATTCAACATTCAATGTCAATCAATGTGTAATATAAAATGTTTAATTAACCATTTTTCAATATTAATTTGAACATACTATAGTATTAGTTATATTAACAAAAAGGAGTGCAATTTTTAATTCTGTTTTATATTTAAATTATATTGAAATTTTATCTAGAATAGAAAATTTTATAATCATTCGCGATTTCTTTCGATCGTTCGGAAAAATTAATTTCTTTTATTTTTTTCTTTTCCTCAGGTCCCTGCACCGCGTGGAATTTAACGATACACGAGTACAGCAAGAACGGAGACCCGGCAGGGCCAAGATTGCACACATTTTGTTCGAGAGACACGTACAAAAATTTCACCCTACCATGGAAGACTAACACCGTGGTGGTTAGGTGAGTCCTCCTCCTATCCCTTCTTCGGTTCGGTGGACAGATTAGCCGGAAGTTGAGGGAAAACTTCGTCCATCGACGTCGACTAACGACAGTTACGCGACACTTTTCTCGAGGAGATTATGACACCACGGCCTGAATTATGGGGGCAATTTATATGGCCGGTTTTTGCGTGGGTGAAAGGGCCAACTTAAAAATCGATCGCCCGGAAAGATTTATCCACCTTCCAATGGGAAATCGTTCGAGGCCGGATAAAGTCGCGCACAGATTACATTTGTCATGGTTTGTGTATCGATACGACGTTTCCTCGAGCGCGAAGAAACTGCGAAAATTCTTACGGATATTACGCGTGTAAAA